CCTTCACCTGTGACTGCACACTTTGTCCCCTCGTTCGTACATGATCATGTGGCATGTATAGTGTACACGTCTCCTTGTTCATTCATGATCGCATGCTGTGTGTAGCGTGCATGTCCCTCCATTCATCCATGATCGTATGCCGTGTATAGTGCATGTGTCCTCTTGTTTCTCTGTGATCATGTGGTGTGCGTGTCCACTTGTTCACTCATTATCACACATGTACCAACCTCTGTGCTGTGTGCAGGGCTGCAGAGACCTGGGTGCTGATGTCTGTCTTCTAGAGCACTCGCTGGCTGCATCTTGCAGTAATGATGTGCATGCCCTTGCAGTTGAGCTTGCTGGGGCCAAGGACTGTACCCTTCTATCTTTCTGTCTGCAGCTTTTATATTACACCCACTCCTAACTTACTGACATGGATGGCTAGGTTCCCAAGGCCAGGTTGTTAATGGGAAAATTGGTGTTATGTGAAAATGGAGGGTGACTCCATCTTTTGTAACTGCCAAACCACTGAGAATCGTGGCCCAGCCAAGTTGCCACATAACCTTCACTCTCACAGTTGGCGTTACTCTCACGTTGCACCTCGGCAGTCATCATTGCCAGATGATGTCATCGCTAATGTGCAAATAGGTTTTTCACTGTGGTTGTAACTGGCAAGTTGAATAATGAGATGGCCGGTAAGTGAGACGCAGATCTGTTGTGATTGGAAACAACATAAAGAACGCTTGTTTGTATGTCTCTGATTGATTTATTTTCCAGTGCGGGCTTTGTAGAGTTTTAATCTCACGCGGCTTCCTTTGATCTGTCATTCAGTGATAAGCAGGTGGGACGTGGGTCTCTGGGCCTCTCAGAGTCTCTTGTTTCTCAGTACATGTCTGGGTGCCTGCCCTCTGCTGGGTACGGGCTTGGAGGGCAGGTACCTCTGGACATGACTTGTACCTCAGAGACCTGTTGGTTCTGTGGGAACGTCTTATGAGACGGTGAGGAGCTGACATCTCACAGAAGCAGCCAGCACTCAGCCCAGCTCGAGAGACTGGTGGGCCTGCCCTCAGGGTGCCGGCCTGCTCCAGTCTGGCAGGCTGTGAACTTGGTCAGCTCCGCTACCGGCCTGAGCCAGCGCCAAGTCCCTCTGGCTGAACGGAACACAAGGCCTTTCAGCAGTCTTGATTCTTGCCTGTAAAAGTGTTGCAAGTGTGGAGCCAGTAACAAGAGGATGAATTTTAAAAAGCCAGAGGCGGGTGGAATTTATCCTGATGCTTACGTGTTCTTAGGGTGATAGGGCTATGTTGTTTATAAGAAGTCTGTGTTTACAGCCTGTCTCCCTAAAGCGGGAGTGTGGTGCTCACTGCCCTGAACCCGTCTGAGCCAGTGCCGCGTCGCTGGCGTCTTCACTGGAGATAGAGAGCTGAGCTGCGGGTCGGCACCTGCGTCTGGCCTGACAGTGCCGTGTGCACCGTGCAGAGCGCCTCTGGATTGACGTAACCTTGCCCAGGGTTTCTGTGCTCTGGTTTTCCTCCTGAGGGTGTCGTCCTGGTTCTGACAGCTTGCTTTTGGATGATGTTAGCGTGTGACGTTCTGTAGCAGAGCGGTTACATAGAGCCTGCTGGGGAGCCTTGGCTTGGCTTCTTGGTCATTTTGCAGTCAAGTTGGGCTCCAAGATTACAAGCCAGGAGAAGTGGCTGCCCGAGTCCCTCGCTGCTCAGTTGGTTCTGTCCCTTGCTTGTCTGTAACCAGGAACCTGTTGGTAAGATGGCACGACTTGTCTGTGCTCTCCTCTGAGCTTCCCGCTTTCCCCAGAGCAGCGTCGCGTCCTCGCTGGGTGTGAAGTGAGCCGGTGGCGAAGGACGTGCTGAGAAGGCTGGGCGGGTGATGCTCGTGGGAGGAGACTGAGTGCCGAGGACAGGTCCGTGCAGCGTGGACACCATGGATCAGAACAACAGCCTTCCGCCGTACGCCCAGGGCCTGGCGTCTCCTCAGGTAATGCAGTGGGCAAGGGCGCGGGGAGAGGGTGGGCTTGAGCCAGGTCCCCCTTCACTTCCCTCGGGTGCAAACGGCCTGCTGGAGCCAGAAGGGGCTCTCTGCCCGTGGTCGCCTGTGGGTCCCCCGGCCCGGCTCCACAGGCACCAGACCACAGCCCGACCCCTTCTGCTCACTGCAGGGTGCCATGACCCCTGGGATCCCGATCTTCAGCCCGATGATGCCGTACGGCACGGGCCTGACGCCGCAGCCCATCCAGAGCGCCAACAGCCTGTCCCTCCTGGAGGAGCAGCGGCAGCAGCAGCAGCAGCAGCAGGCGGTGGTGGCGGCCACAGCGGCCCAGCAGCCCGCGGCCCAGCAGGCGCCCCCGGGGACCACGGGGCAGACGCCACAGCTCTTCCACTCACAGACTCTGACGACCGCGCCTCTGCCGGGCACCACCCCCCTCTACCCCTCCCCCATGACGCCCATGACGCCCATCACTCCCGCCACGCCGGCGTCCGAGAGCTCCGGGATCGTGCCCCAGCTGCAGTGAGTACCTGCTGTCTCCCTGTCAAGGCCCCACCCCGTGGAGCATCCTGTTTGTAGATGGCCGACGGGTTTGGGTGTGGCCCCGGTGTGAGATGGGCTGACAGGTTTGAGGTGCGGTCCCCATGTGTGACAGCCCACAGGTTTGAGGTGTGGCCCTGTGCATGACAGCCCATGGGTTTGAGGCCCACACGGGTGATAGCCCACAGGTTTGAGGTGTGGCCTCTGTGCGTGACAGCCTATAGGTTTGAGGTCTGGCCCTCAGGGCTCTGCCGGGCGGACATTAGTGCTCTCCTACTGAGGAAGGCGGGTGGTGTCTGTGAGTCGTGCTGTCAGCGAGAGGCCCATGGTCACGTTCTTAGAGCACTGGAGGCCCGTGCTCGTGGGACGGGACAGTGAGGTCCGCTGCCAGGTCCCAGCCTGGATCTCCTGCTGTAGACAGTTTCCACGGCTGCTGTGGGGCTACGGGAGGAGCAGCTGCCAGCATCAGTGGGGTTCACGATGTGCCTCCTTGCTCTTCCTTGGGAGGGCTGTACACTCACTGGGGCAGAGCCATGTCACGTGGGGGCGTGTCCCAAGGGGGTATGCCCTCCCACCCCCGAGAAGTGTCTAAGGTTGTCGCCTTTACGGAAGCAGACTGCCTCATCTTTCTCCCAGGGAGTGGCTGGTTAGCAGCTGAGTGCCTAGCCGCTGTGCCCCCAAGGCTCCCTGTGGGTCCCTCCGATGCTCTTATCAACCTCAGACCCCTCGGGGTCTCTCGATCTTACTTCCTGAATCACGGCATTGGCTCTCCCAGCTTCCGGAAATTCTGATAGTAGTTTGTCAATTAATCCACCTGTGTTTTAGAGCGAGATGAAGGCAGTGAGGGAGTAGGACAGGGGCCTTGCCTGGAAGCGTGAGCGACGGTGGGAGGCCACCCTGGGGTCTGTGTTGTCCTCAGCGTCTTACTGTGCTTCCCAGGGCATGGCACCGTCTCGAAGGCACGGAAGACGTCTGGAGATGTCTCTGTTGCCTCTTTTTAGCTTCCACAGACCTCGGGAGGAACTGGGGATGTTTAATTTCCTGCCTACAACGGCAACAAGAGGAAGGTGCTGGCCCTTCTTAACTGCACGGGAGGAGGGGCACAGAGACACACAAGGGTGGTGTCAGTCCTGTCAGTGTGGGAACAGTAGGGTTCTGTGACGTTTATGACCAGAAGTGACTTGACACAGTTGATTAGTGGACTAACGCTGCAGGCAGGTGTGTACACAAAACTGACTGCAAGGAAAGAGGTAGTGTGGCGAGGGAGACGCTGACCAGGCCATCAACCTGACTTGTTGTCCAGTTGTGCAGTACGATGCTGTCCTCCCAAGACCATAAACTTCCAGAGGTGCTGCCTTCCGACCACACGGGGCTGGGGATGGGACAGTGCAGGGACGGGGCGG